GTAATCAGTGAGGGGATTCTGCAGACTGTTGAGGGTTCAGCCTCCTGATGAGTCGGTGAAACTCCAACGAAACAGTTTGTCACAGCCCCTCGTTTGTTGTCCTCTTCTCTCTCACTGCCTACGGTTTACCGGGCAGCTCTGTTTGTGACGATATATATATATATATATATATATATCATATATATCGTCAAATAGAACTGCCCGGTAAACCGTAGGCAGAGAGGGAGAAGAGGACAACAAATATTGTCACATTGTGAATCAGAGCGCAGAAGCGAAAAAAAGGGAAAAGAAAAAAAGGAAAAGGAAAAAAGGGAAAGAGAAGAGGTAAGGAAAGCTCCACCTGTTCATAACCTCTTACGTACAAGGCCAGCCACGTGGATGACAGGTTGAGCGCTGGCTGCCCCCATCCCCGTGTGTCACAAGAACCCACTTGCACGCAGCCAAAAGGCAAAGAGGTAAAGAAAAGGAGGAGGAAACCAAACCTGACAGGGAAAGTGTGTCACAAGAACCCACTTGCACGCAGCCAAAAGGCAAAGAGGTAAAGAAAAGGAGGAAACCAAACCTGACAGGGAAAGAAAGATAATCCAATTGTCACAAAGCAAATAACACATCCCACAGATCAACGTATCTTTTTTCTTTTTTTCTTTTTTTCTCTTTTTTTCTTTTTTTCTTTTTTTCTCTTTTTCTTTTCTTCTTTTTTTCTTTACCTGTCCCCACCTCGGCAGATAGGACACCTACGGTGAGGATGATGTGGATGTTCACAAGGATGCCCAAGGAGAGCTGCGTCAGCACAGCATTTTGCTGGACGGCTAGCACGAACCATCCCATCAAAACAGTCCTGACAGAGGACATGTTGTCCACATGTCAAAAACACAGCAGGACGTTCATCACAGTGCGGCATCATACACTTCTGATAGCGTCCTTGGGAACAATAGGGACAACGTATATCTGGGTGATAGGGATGTGTACAATRAGGAAATGTTGGACACCCTTCAGGACAGACGGCGGCAGTCGTAATAAATTGATAATGGCTATGGCATAGATGATGCATTCCACAGCCAAGGCGCACCGCGTCTCTGTCCCGACAGGTGTCACACGAGAGTCGGTCAATAATCCAGAATAAAGTATGATTCGACAACACTCGCAAAAATTCATTCACGTCGAAAAYGACCTRACTCATCGTCCCACCATCCCACAGTTCCCACTGGGCAGCTGCACGAATGAGTGCCATATAATGCCCGGGTCTGTGTAAAATACAGGCAAAATGCCCGGGTCTGTGTAAAATACAGGCAAAAATATGAGGTAGTTATTGAGGTCATCGCCTGGCGTCGCATGATGCATAAGAAGGTGGCGACCGTGAAACGCTAACTGTAAGACATATACAGTAAAGCCTCCTGAGGTAGTATAGTTACTACCTTCTGCAGGTGGACTATTATGGTCAAACAACAACTGATTTATATATATTGTTAAAATCGAATCTAATTTTTGATTTTTTAAAAATCTTAAACAAAATCAATTCCAAAAAAAAACAATGAGAGTGTAGGGTTTTCCAAGCCCTACACCCCCATATATATATATATATATTTTTTTTTAGGGGTAGAAAAATAAAAATAAAAAACGAGGCCGCAGCCGCGGCCTAGATTCTCGGCCACAGTGGCGTAAATGCCTGCGGCCTAGGCCGCGGGTTCCACATCGAGGTGCCAAGAGTGGGGTACCGGCACCGGTACCTCAACTTCAACGAAATGACATTAAGATATTCAGGCTCGGGAAAATTCGGCGCCCACTTTATATTCAGGCTCGACTTTAATAGCTGGGCCAAGTACTGGTGGTTTGGGCGTACACAAAAAAGAGAAAAAAAGGTTAATTTGCAAAATACCCCCAGAAGTTAAGATATATGCCAAAATGTCCCTGAAACATGTGGGTAGCGGAATGCCCTTCGGGGCCGCAGACGGGGGAATGAAGATTGCCGACTGTCTACATTCTTAGGGCCGGCTGTTAGGCCTGGCTTTTCTGGTTATATAGGTTTCTAGGTTCTGTGCCATATTAGGCCGTTGGAGAGGACTGGCAGGTAATAGTTGAATCCTCGCTATTAATTTTATGACATGGTTTCGATAGGGAGGGTTGAATTTTGTTTTTAGGTTTTGGATTTTGTTTTAATCGAATAGTTTCTTTAGGTCACCTACCTTAGGACTCTGTGTATTGGTTCTGTCAAGAAGTAGTTTTTGAGTTCGCTGTTTGAAGATTCATAGGCAATTCTGTTTTTAAATTCAAAAAAAAAAAAAAAAAAAATCAAATTCAGAAGTTTTTTTTTATTATAATAATTTTAAAATAAAAAAAGTAACTAATAAAAATAAAAAAAATGTTTGTGTGTCCTCTGTCAGGTGGGTGTGCCACTTTGCAATCTGGACCACCCTGTTTGGGCCTTGGCCTTTTGCAATCGCGCCTAGGAAAAGTTGGCAAGTACCGTTTGGGTCCCCGGTAGGGGTATTTTTGCAAAGATGGGGGTCCAACCGACGCCAGGGGTATTCCACCAGAAAAAATCGTTGTCAGAGGAGCATTCCGCTCTACCCACATCTTTTAGGGGCATTTTGGCATATATCTCCACTTCTAAAATCTGGGGGTATTTTGCAGATTATCCCCCCCCAACGAAACCTCTCGCCCTCACAATTTGAGAAGATGGGGAACATCAAATACCGAAGGTTCCTTTTAAGAAAAAAAAAACAGAAACAAAGGTCAGATCCATCCACATTCCCGCGCGGATTGCCAGTAACTCCCCGGGAGGCTCATTGAAACGATCTATGAATGGGCCGGGGCTTGTGTATAATATTCACCATTCATGGTGGCTATCGTCTTTCCCCCGAGCAGAAAGATCCCCACAGATCACGACAGCTACTGCAATTGGACAGAAGCTCTGTATACATTCTCAACGACTGCCTCCAGGCAGACAATGCCAAACATCAGCACCCGCCACGTTGGACCGCATTTCCAGTTGCTGCAGCTCCCCACCAACAGATTGGAACTTTAACCTAACGTCCCGTTTGTGGAGGATCCTTCATCGCCTCCACAAAAACCTCCCGCAAAAAAAAAAAAAAAAAAAACAACAACAAGACAACACAACAACAACAACAACAACAACAACAATCTCCAACTCCACTTCGACGATCCCACCTATTCGATTCCGCATGCCCGTTTCTCTTCCCCTTCTTCCTTTCCTTCTTTTGCTGTTTTACAAACCTCATGACACTTCCTTCCCGGACGACGGTTTGCACTTTAACTCCAGTTACTCGAAAACACCCCTCTGTCCCCTTCAACCCGAATGGCTGACCAGATTCACCAAACGCTCTTCTCCCGAAATGGGGCTTCAACTTGTCAGGTTAGACGAGAACGCAGATTGCCCTTCAGGTGCTGTTGCCACTTCGTAAAACCTCCCGATTCAACCCGAATGGTTGACCGGATTCAGATTCGCGAAACGATCTTCCAGCCCTACGACCTCAACACAATTCATAAATTTAAACCTCCCCGCGACGAAACCTTTGAAGTGATTTTGGCGCATGTGGCACCATTTTCCCCGTTTGGAGGGAAATGGATACAAAGGTCTCGTCGAGGGGAGGTGTTATGACTTTTCACCACTTTCCACTGTCGAGGGAAGTAAGACATCCTTACTAAGCGACGGCAACTCGAACACGATTTCCACCACATCCAATCCGAGAGAATTAAGCAGCAGTCGACGTTTTCAACGAGCCGACACACAAATAGCACTTTGCCATCAGATCACAGTTCCTTACGAAGCGACGACTGTTCGAATGCATTCGATAGAATCGCACAAACGAATGTCCAACCAGATTTTCGCTCCTTACAAATAGGACGGCAACTTGCTTGACGATATCAATGAATCAACCAACATCCGTTGATATCAATCAATCAAGGGGCAATTACAAAATAGGGCGTTCTTGAAGTTTAGGGCAGAAATGTTATAGGGGTCCGAAACATCTATTTTTGGAAGGAAAGTGGGGGCCCCGTGAAACTACCGGGACCTCTAAAGCTGCAACGAAAGATACCATTTTTGCAACGAAACTTGGGCCCCCGCCAATATTTTTGCTGCCAAACTTCAACAGGCGCGCTATTTCTGCAATTAACCCATCAATAATGAACCTATACATAAACTCACAGAGAACAACAGCTCAGCAGCCTGAACCATATCCGTCAGTAAATACACTGCACGCCTTTCTAACCTCTCGTTACTGAAGAACGACCACTCACCCATACCTGTCAAACAACCATATCCCCCTAACCCATAACTGTCAAACAACCATATCAATCACGAAAATGTGTTAATCCTGACTCAACAGCCTGCGTGTGTGCAATGGCACATGTTCAACTCACACTGAAAACCATCGACCACAACGGTCCACACATTCAAAACGTGGTACAGTCCACGTCTGCCATCTCCCTCCGTACACATGTTTCAGTCAGTCCCCTGGTGGCCGCAAGCGTCTCTTGCTCTCAGATGTAAACTTGTCAAGCCGGGATGACGCTGTGTACACTTGTCGTTCCCTCGATTACGACCAAAAGCGCCAAAAGCACAGAGACATAAACAACGCACGTAGTCGTATCTACTGTTCGGATTCATAGCAAAATGCCAGTCCGGTCATAATCGACGCCAACAAAGAGACAAAGACATCAACAACGCACCGACTCATATCTATAATTGTCTTCAATTTAGAGGAAGCAGGAAGTCTGATCATATTCGAGTCCGTCCATGCAAACCGATGTCTTACCGATTCCCACCACAGCGATGAAGTACGATCTTTCCCCCCCATGCCAACTCAACCCCTCGCAAGTCCCGCGGAAGAACCACACCTGTTACACAACTTGGGCCAGGTGAACCGGTTACATCTTCGCAAGTCCATTGATTGACACATGGGCCGCGCCACATGTTAGTACCAAGCTCCGCGCGTGTCAAGTCCGCTGCTCCGCACTACTGTCAATTCAACCTCGATCGTACACGTGACGATTTCTCTTCTCCTGGGTCGTTTTCACAACAAAGCATCAATCTCCAAAACCCAGACCAGACAGCCCCCGACTTTTTTTTTTTTTTTTTGGTGGTCACACAACTTGGTCTTGGTGCACCGAATTACTGAGCATCAATCTCCGAAACACAGACCAGACTTCCCCCGACTTGCGCAGTAGCAACAGCGATAACACTATTGCAAGCTGTGTTCACACAAGTTGGTCGTGGCGCACCGAATGTGGTCCGACTGCACGCCAAGAACGTCCCCGAAGGTCCCAATTCACGTCTCCATACTCCGTACTCCCAAGACACAACCGACGGTGCATGCCCTGTGCGATGGTGCAACGTCCCTACGACAATCCGCAGCCAGAACAATGCCTCTCCTACCGAGTGCCATCTCCCCGCGAGTACAACGTACAGTCAACATGGCCGCATCTGGACTGAAAGTTCACCAAATGCACTATAATCGAGCACATTCTATTCGGGTGAACACGGTAGGCCCTGTATCCATCGTACTGAACACTCTTACCTCTCCGACTGCCACCGAAACCGCGGTGCCACCTCCATCATCCTCATTCCCCTGAATGTTCACGTCCTCACATTCTACCTAACGTTTCTTCTTCACGCAGATCCCTTAACGTTTTCACTTCCACCCCACTGTTGATATCGCTGTTGATGTCGAATGTGGCACAGCGCAAGTTGAGGCACTGATGCGATTTCCAGACATTGAAGGGACTCCGAGGGAATCATGAGTTACACACTACAGTAGCAACTTTTCGAGTCAGGTCTACGTGATTATGGTCAGATGCATCGAGTTCTATTGCGCTCTAGACGTGATTATAGTAAAATTCCAGTTCTATTGCGCTCTAGACGTGATTATAGTCAGGTGCATCCAGGTCTGGCAGTAATTGCACTCTCCTTCAGGCGGCGTAGAGTAAAACCTGCAACTGCCCCAAAAGAGTCGAGCCGCCACTTTGAATTTAAATAAAAAATGGACTACATCATTCTGAGTTTTTGTTTTGATTGCAATATCAAGTCACAATACATTTAGGAAGGTGCCAGACCATAAGGTGGAATCGCGATCATCTTCCTCCTCTTCTCCGTACCCTCTCCACCTCCGACTCCGCGCTGATATTTTTAAGATCACAGCTAATCTACACATCCTTCTGCCTCTCGGACTCCGATTGCGGAAGAATGGCAGTGACGTCCCTCCTCTTCTCCCTGAACTTCTCCTCCAGCTCCCTATCGATATTGAACGCGTGGGTCACCACCTCCAACGGCATGTTCTTCAACATGGACGTCGAACCGGAGAGGAAGGACGACCAGGGCATGGAGGACGACCCCACGGAGATCATTTCCAGCCGCTCGCCCTCCGACGCGACCTTCAACGCCGCGAAGAAGCGCGGGATCGCCACCACCTGTCCTGCGCGCACCTCCGCGTCCAGCTCGTTGCGCCCGTCTGGCCCCGCGATCTGCACCCGCCCCTTCCCGCTGATCACGTACACGATGTGATGCGCGTTCACCGACCACACCGGGCCAATCACCGCCCCCGGCCTCAGGGACGCTCTGTGCGCGCCCATTCTCAGCTGACGCAGCACTGGCATTCTGTGCGCATTAAGGAACCAAACCTTCCCGCCTTTATTTGCCACGTCAGCAGACGATCTGTCCAGATTGTACACGAACTCGCCGCCAGAAAGCGGCCACATACCGAACGCCGAGGACGCCCCCTGCTTTCCGTTGACGTCATCGTCAACCAAACCCATCCCCACACCCATGGCCAGCTGACTGATCGTCGTCGTCGTGGTCATCCACGTGTGGACAATCTGATCCAAGGCATGAGACGTGGCAGGGCTGCTCCCTGAGCGAGAAGGCAGTCTGACAATGGCACTCCCGCGCTGGGACCGCAGCAGCGACTCCACGTGGCTGACGTCCACGTCCCACGCTTTGGCCAGCAGGTCTTTACTGAATCCGCGAAGAATCGAACCCGTGTCCTTCTGATGTTCCGCCGCTGCCGTGGAGGTCGACGACGAGCCTGCCAGATGAAAGTGCATGCACTCGCCACGTGCATGGCCCTCCGACGTGTCCCATGCAGCGAACGCCCGCAGCCGAGAGCTTCCGCAGTTGACGGCCCAGCTCGCCCAGCCCCGGGGGATCGCGAACACATCCCCTTGCTCGATCCTCCTGGCGTTGGTTGGGAACCCGACAGGAGACATCAGTCCCACGTGGGCGGACCCTTCAATCACGTAGAGGAAGTAATGGCAGTCGGAGTACTCGGGCAACATCATGAAACCCGCCTCCAACGTCACCATTCCCGCTCCCAGGGAGGCATTGGGGAACTCCTCCAGAGCCCCTCCCCAGCTACTCACCGACCCGCCTTCCGCCTTAATTAGCTCTCGCAGATCACCGGTATGCCTGAGGTACTGCGGAGCTGCGCCAGCCGCGAGGGTGATAGCTGACATGGCGCAGAGCGCAGAGAAGAGAAGAAGAGCGCGCAACATCGTGTGCTGTACTTCCATACTGCTCACAGATCGACTCCGTAAGCTATGGAGCTGAACACGCGACGTTGAAGAACTGCAGGTAGACGTCACCTTCTCCTCACGTACTCCTCGACGATCAGCACAGTGATTCACTGATCACCAACGTGGGTCACGTGTCTATAAATATACATCCTCTACGTGCAGTGCAGTGGGCTAGCAGCGACGCTCACCAAGGCAAGCTGAACCGGTTCCCGGAAGGAACTCGTCCCCATCGGCACCCGTGGAGACGGCAGGCCGCTGTAGGTAGCACCCAAGGCGTCAAACTGTTAGGGGTTGGCATCCCTACCCCTAACAGTTCGGTGTGAGGTTCTCCGATTAACGAGGGTTCGAGCTCCTGTTTTTCTGTGTGTTTTTTTTTTCGCCCACCCAGCTCCTGTGCTCTTTCACTACCACTTAGGGCGAGATCCCACTGGCAAAAACGATTGGAATAAGTGTCTGAATCTGGACGTGTTTGTGAAGAGGTGCAAAAAACCGTAATTGATCTGCTTTTCTGCATCTCTGCGTGGAACATGTCCTGATTCAGACACTTATTCCAACCCTCTTTGCCAGTGGGATCTGGCCCTCAGACAGATTTGTGTAGCATCAGCCGCATGGGCGAAAAGAAAAAAATGAACACCGTAAAAAATAGAAAAAAATAAATAAAAATAATTCTAAACAAACCAGCGTCCCTTATCTGCAAATGAAAGAACAATTTGAGATACCGGGGCCATTGCCCAGGGCGAGGTCCCATTAGCAAAGAGGATTGGATTGAGCTCCTGAATGTGGACGTGTTGTAAGCAGAGATGCAGAAAAGCAGTTCAATCTCGAATTTCTGCACCTCTCCGCGAACAGGTCTAGATTCAGGCGTTCAATCCAATCCATGTTGCTAGTGGGACGTCTGCCCGGGCTTTTCGGCTAGACCGCCCTGTCTTCCCCTGAATACAACGAACCCTTCTCATTACCCTCTTCCCCCGAATACAACGCACGGTCATTATAGCTGTATCTATTATAGCTGTATTTAGACTGAAAGATACCTGAAATACAGCTATAATGACCGTACGTTGTATTCGGGGGAAGAAGGATACCCTGTACTACAAGCTGGTATTACCTATAGGCCCGATAAAGTCAGACCCGTCCCCAACTTAGTGTTTTTTTTTGTTTTTTTTTCAAAAGGCTAATTCTTTAAGCCCAACCAATTCAATTACCTCCGTGCTCAAGCCTTTAACGAGGGAACATGCGGGAGCTGCACCCACCAGCAGGTGCGATACCTGCTACAGCAGGTGGGCGATACCGGCCAGGGGTCAGCCGGTAGCGTCAGGACCGAGCTTCTTCGATGGGCCAGTCACTGTGCCTCCCCTCCCCCTATGAACATCAGCAGTCTCTGCTAAATGCCACTCGGGGGGACCAACTGAGTGTTTTTTCGCTCGAATGAGGTCCTATAAAAAAAATAATAATAAGAAAAAGAAAAAGAGGTCCGATGCGTCCGGGGTCAAGTCCCACTAGCAGCGTTGAGCTACCTCCACGCCTGAATGTGGACATGTTTGTGGAGACGTGCAGTTCATGAAACTCAACACCATCTCTGCACATCTGCGCAAAAGCGTCCAGATTCAGGCGTTGAGGTAGCTCAACGCTGCTAGTGGGACTTGGCCCCCGGGGTAACGGAACAAGCAGCGGCCGAGGCTGTGGGGTGTCGTGCGGATCCATTCGATGCTCACCCGAAGAGGTTATTATACATCCATCATAGTACTTTGCCAACCGAATCTGGCCATGCAGTAAGGTCACATACGGTCGGGACAACTCTAGTCCGTGTATGCCTCCTTCCCCTCCAAGCGTACCTGTTTCCCGCCAAAAAGAAGGAAAAACACGTTCTGCCATTTCTCCATTGATGTGATGCACACGTGTCATCATCTTCATTTGCGTCGGGGCCTTTTTTTTTTTTTTTTTTTTTTTTTT